TTATGAAGAGTAATCTATCAGCATATATTGACCTTTTATGTTACATTTGCAATTGACCTGGGACTATAACCTTGGAGTTAAGTCTGTGGAACTGGTGTCGGATGTGGTGGAGGACCTGGACCCAGTAAAAGGTGGTTTCTGGTTAGAGACGGCTGGTGAAAACCTGATTGCTGTGATGACTCTAGAACAGGGGTGTCCCAACACCAGGCCTCAGGGACCAGTGTCCTGCAGGTTTTAGATGTGTCATTGTTCCAACACATCTGATTTAAATGGCTAAATTACCTCCTTGACATGTCTTGAAGTTCTCCAGAGGGCTGGTAATGAACTAATAATTTGATTCAGGCGTGCTGACCCAGGTTGATATCTAAAACCTGCAGGACACCGGCCCTTGAGGCCTGGAGTTGGACACCCCTGCTCTAGAACATTTGATAAGAGTGTTGTACCTATGCATATAATATAAGGCTGGACTGCTAACTTATAAATAAACTAATGTCCATAAATGATTCTCTGGGTTTTGTACTCCTTGGCTACCATCGCTCTTTTTTTTTCTTTTGCTGCTCTTAAAAAGGACCCGTCTTGCCTTCTCCTTTTCCTCGACATGTCACTCGATGACACTGGGAATACGCTCCAGCCATCCCAACAAAGGCTTCACATGGGATTGCACCAGGTGTCTCTCCCAGGTGATAAAACTCTTTTGCTTAACTCATGATCTTGCTTACTATTTAGACTTTTCTGTCTTTAAACTACTCACCAGAGTAGTGAGAAAAAAATTGTTTGGATGTGAGACTGTGTGGTTCTCTTTGTCAGCCTTTTGTAAAGGCCGACTCTGACCATATGACAGCTGGGATAGGCTGCAACTCCCCCCATGACCCTAAGTTGGATGAGCGATTAACAAAATAAATGGATGGATGCTAACATGGCTTTTTCAGCACCAGTGACTGTCACGCTGCCAGTTACTCTGATTAGCCAGCGCTACAGAAGCACAGTACATGAGCCAAAAACTCAGTTCAGGGATTGGCTGTCCCACTCCTTACCCAATATATGAGAAGCAGAAAAATGGCAGGATGGTACTTTAGAAAGACAAGGGTCAAAAGAGGTTTAATTGAAAACTGAAATATCTAGCGACCATAAATGTAGCACTCACAAAGTCACCTTTATCATCTATCACTCATTGCACCAGTGAAGTTGAAGATTGAAGAGTGCTGGAAATGAAATCCCTTCTCACCTGGCTGCTTGTCCAGGATCTGCTGGAATTTCGCCCGCTCGTACTGTATGGCCTGCTGCATGAGATGAGGCCTCAGGCTTTGAATGGTGAAGTTAACCATGTCGGTCTTCATGAGACCCAAGACACGGAAGATCTCCCTGGGAGGAATAATGTTTGAGTAAAACCTTTTTTGACATTCTTGGAAATAAGGTAAC